TGTTTATAAACCTTCACATCTCTCTTACTTTCTGATACCATTCTCTTTGTACCATATCTATATTTTACTCTCTATATAGTTACAACTAAAAATGATCTGATATATCTCTAGCCACTCTATAAACACGTACATCCTGAAAACTACCCATGACCTATTTATCCACCAATACAGTCTAACAAACTACTGTCATTGCACCCTATATCCTATCTTGTATACTTATTTATCCTTTTATTTCTTGAAATATGTGTTACCTTTTAAAAAACCTCTTTCTATATAAAGCAATCGAAGGCCCCTAATATCATACACTCCTGGCACCCCTAACTTACCTACCACACCCTCTCTAACCATTTCTTCTACTTTTGCATTTAGGTCTTTTATCACAATTACTCTCTCACTTGGCTCAAAAGTTCCTAAACACTTGCTTAACATCTTCTAAAATCTCTCTCTCCTCTACACGCTTCACTTTTTCAGGTACATAAATCCTTGTTATAACTCACTTCTTGCATCCGACCATTATTTTAGTCCACATAATATATAATCCACATTTATATTCCCTCTTCTCCTTCCATAACTGATCCTTCAACATTATTGCTACTACTTCCCCAGCTTTAACTTTCTTAGATACTCCTCAACTAAACCCATTTATTTCTCCCCACTGAAACTCCCCTATCCCCTTCAACTTCGTTTTGTTTAGAACCAGTTCATCCAACTTCTTTTCCTTCATAACATTTTTAATCATCGCTTTCTTATCTGCACTACATACCAGCTTTATATAGTTTTTCTTATTATTATTTTTTACTAATACATGTAGAAGTTGTTACTAGCCCATTACTTAAGGCAAACCAAAATAACAGTTTAAAAAACTACTGGACTTGAGCATACATAAGCCGATAAAACTCCAAATCTTCCTCTAAGTAAGATACGTCAGTGTTGAAAGTTTGCAGTCACTTAAAAATAACGCTTTCAAGTTACTGCACAAAAACCTTTGAGGAAGAAGAAATCCAACAATAACTGTTGGTGTCTCTTCACGGGATAACATCTATTATTGCATTTGTAGGACATTTAATAAAATAACTAGAATAATAATTCAGCGGTATTTTCATAAGAACATAAGAAAGGAGGAACACTGCAGCAGGCCTGCTGGTTGGCCCTTTACAAATCCATCCCCCCGACAGAATATTTGTCCAGCCCATTTTGAACGCTAACCAAGCAATAAGCATTGATAAATCTATTTACTCATGTGCAAATCCCACTCATATCCAACCCCTCTCGCTCATGTATTTATCCAACCTAAATTTTAACTTCAATGTTTTAACTTCAATAATCCTACTAGGCAGACTGTTCCACTCATCAGCTGCCCTGTTTCTTGATAAATTAGACACATGTGCAACTCTTGGGTATCTTTATTGAGGAAACGTTTCGCCACACAGTGGCTTCATCAGTCCATACGTAGGAGAAACTTGAAGAACAGGAGGAGAATGAGGTAATCAGTCCCTCAACCTATTCAAGATTGATGGACTGAACACATCGACTCAAGGTTGAGGGACTGATTACCTCATTCTCCTCCTGTTCTTCAAATTTCTCCTACGTATGGACTGATGAAGCCACTGTGTGGCGAAACGTTTCCTCAATAAAGATACCCAAGACTTGAAGATTGAGACACTTATGCAGCATATGGGAATCTTTATTCAGGAAACGTTTCGCCACACAGTGGCTTCATCAGTACAATACAAAGAGGAAGGCGTAAGGAGAGGAGGAGTATGAGGTAATCAGTCCCTCGGCCTGGAGTCGATGTGTTCAGTCCATCAATCTTGTAGAATGTACAGCATAGGGCCATAGACGTGGCTTATATACTGTAGTGAGGTGAGGTGAAGCAGGCGGAGGCGGGGTCATAGTGGTACCATCCACTAGTCGAAGTAGGTCTTCGTCCAAACGTTGAACAAGTGTTGAAGAATTCTTTGTAACAAGATCCCATGATGCTGCAGTGTCTGACAGTTGTGATGAATGGTTTGAAAAACCGACAAGTTGAAGATTGAGACACTTATGCAGCATATGGGAATCTTTATTCAGGAAACGTTTCGCCACACAGTGGCTTCATCAGTACAATACAAAGAGGAAGGCGTAAGGAGAGGAGGAGTATGAGGTAATCAGTCCCTCGGCCTGGAGTCGATGTGTTCAGTCCATCAATCTTGTAGAATGTACAGCATAGGGCCATAGACGTGGCTTATATACTGTAGTGAGGTGAGGTGAAGCAGGCGGAGGCGGGGTCATAGTGGTACCATCCACTAGTCGAAGTAGGTCTTCGTCCAAACGTTGAACAAGTGTTGAAGAATTCTTTCAACACTTGTTCAACGTTTGGACGAAGACCTACTTCGACTAGTGGATGGTACCACTATGACCCCACCTCCGCCTGCTTCACCTCACCTCACTACAGTATATAAGCCACGTCTATGGCCCTATGCTGTACATTCTACAAGATTGATGGACTGAACACATCGACTCCAGGCCGAGGGACTGATTACCTCATACTCCTCCTCTCCTTACGCCTTCCTCTTTGTATTGTACTGATGAAGCCACTGTGTGGCGAAACGTTTCCTGAATAAAGATTCCCATATGCTGCATAAGTGTCTCAATCTTCAACTTGTCGGTTTTTCAAACCATTCATCACAATATGAAAGTTAAGACACATGTGCAACATCTGGATATCTGTATTGATAAAGCCACTGGATGGCGAAACGTCTACTACAATAAAGATATCCAGATGTTGCACATGTGTCTTAACTTTCATATTGTCGGTATTTTATACCTTTCTTTGCACATTCATCACAACTGTCAGACACTGCAGCATCATGGGATCTTGTTACAAAGAATTCTTCAACACTTGTTCAACGTTTGGACGAAGACCTACTTCGACTAGTGGATGGTACCACTATGACCCCGCCTCCGCCTGCTTCACCTCACCTCACTACAGTATATAAGCCACGTCTATGGCCCTATGCTGTACATTCTACAAGATTGATGGACTGAACACATCGACTCCAGGCCGAGGGACTGATTACCTCATACTCCTCCTCTCCTTACGCCTTCCTCTTTGTATTGTACTGATGAAGCCACTGTGTGGCGAAACGTTTCCTGACTAAAGATTCCCATATGCTGAACATCAAAATGGTATACAATACCGACAGGTTGTTAGGTAAGACACATATGCAACAGTTAGACAACTTTATTCCGAAACGTTTCGCCTACACAGTAGGCTTCTTCAGTCGAATACAGAAAGTAGGCAGGAACAGTAGAGATGTGAAGACGATGTAATCAGTCCATCACCCTTAAAGTCGTAGAATTTGAGGTTGTCAGTCCCTCGGCCTGGAGAAGTTCAGTTCCATAGTAAGGAACTATCTGAAGATCAAGCGACAGTGCGGAGACTTAAATATTGTCGGAAGGAGAGGTGCAAGGTAGTAGTAGTAGTAGTAGTAGTAGTAGTAGTAGTAGTAGTAGTGAGAGGCCACTGAGAGGTCATGTCCCTCTCAGATCCAACACTTCTCACTTGAAAAGCTTGTCCAAGGTGTTTTCTGTACCAAGATGCCACGTGTTGCAGTGTCTGACAAGATGAACATCAAAATGGTATACAATACCGACAGGTTGTTAGGTAAGGCGCACTGTCGCTTGATCTTCAGATAGTTCCTGACTATGGAACTGAACTTCTCCAGGCCGAGGGACTGACAACCTCAAATTCTACGACTTTAAGGGTGATGGACTGATTACATCGTCTTCACATCTCTACTGTTCCTGCCTACTTTCTGTATTCGACTGAAGAAGCCTACTGTGTAGGCGAAACGTTTCGGAATAAAGTTGTCTAACTGTTGCATATGTGTCTTACCTAACATTCCCATATGCTGCATAAGTGTCTCAATCTTCAACTTGTCGGTTTTTCAAACCATTCATCACAACTGTCAGACACTGCAGCATCATGGGATCTTGTTACAAAGAATTCTTCAACACTTGTTCAACGTTTGGACGAAGACCTACTTCGACTAGTGGATGGTACCACTATGACCCCGCCTCCGCCTGCTTCACCTCACCTCACTACAGTATATAAGCCACGTCTACGGCCCTATGCTGTACATTCTACAAGATTGATGGACTGAACACATCGACTCCAGGCCGAGGGACTGATTACCTCATACTCCTCCTCTCCTTACGCCTTCCTCTTTGTATTGTACTGATGAACAGTGGCGAAACGTTTCCTGAATAAAGATTCCCATATGCTGCATAAGTGTCTCAATCTTCAACTTGTCGGTTTTTCAAACCATTCATCACATACCCAAGAGTTGCACATGTGTCTAATTTACAATACCCTGTTTCTTAACCAAAACTTTCCTATACCTTTTCTAAATCTAAACTTATCTAATTTGAATCCATTATTTCAGGTTCTCTCTTAGAGGGATATCCGTTATTAATACCCATCTTTCAATTATACACTTCCATGTCCCCCTCCACTCATTTTTCGCCTTACAAGTGAGTGAAATATATGAGACTTCAATCTTTCTTCAACCGGAAGATTTCTAATGCTATGTATTAATTTTGTCATTCTTCTATGAATGTTTTGCAATGAATTTATATCCGTTTAACTAAGTTAGGTTCTAGCTCATGGGCCTATTGAAAATATTGGTGATTAGATCCCGAAGATATATAATAATCTTGCCAGCTTATGCAGTTTACACCATTTTTTGACGTCATTATTCGAGGTTAAAAGTTGCAGTTAAATGGAAAATTTGTCTTTTACTTGTAACTTTCAAAAATAAAGAAACATTTAGTTAAACAGAAGAAGTTTGCATTTGTGTTATTGCTTCAGGAGATTATATTAATATCATTTCCACGAAGACCCTTTCATCATCAGAGACTGGAAATAACTCCTACAGATTCGTAAATCAAATTATTTTCAATTACAAAATCAATGAAGGAACGATCATAACAAATAATATCAGACTAGTTGTACACACCTGGTCTCATGCAGGCGTAGTACTGGGCACTGTAGCACTCTGTTAGGTTGAGGTGGCCTCCCTTGTTGAGGATGACGCATGTCTCGTGACCATTTTCACGACCCTGAAGAGAGTAAAGTTTAAACTGAGGCTGCTGGTTGTGTCACCATCATAACTAGCTTTTGGAGCATGTATTTACTTATGTATTGTATATCTGTGTCTTTTTCTCTATATTTAAATTTATTTTTCCTTCACAATTCCAGTCTTCCCACCTTTATCACTATTTCCCCAATCTCCCTCCCTCTCTCTCTCTCTCTCTCCTCTCTCTCCTTCTCTCTTCTACTCTCTAGGTTTTCCTCCTAATTTTCTTCCTTGTCTCTCCTCTCACCCCTTTCACCCCTTTTTTTATACAGTTTACAGAGTTAGTTTTGGTCTACCTTTTTCAAGCTAAAACTTGTATACTATCAGCTCATTGAAAAGCCATTTTTATTTTGGGCAGACATACAATAAAAAATGTGTAAGGACCATTTCATTGGGCAATATTCAGGTTGGATGAGATGATACTTCTTTAGATTTCAATTTAACTCCTCTCTCCTCTCTTCTCCTCTTCTATTCATCTCCTCTTCTCTCTCTTCTCTATTCATTCCTTCCCTCCTCTCTCCACCGTTCCTTTTACTTTTTTAACATTAGGTTAGGGCTCCTAAGTCTTTACAACTTAGATCTGTTATCCACCCAGCTCATTTTAAGCCATTTTATTAAGCCTTATACAAATATGAACATGACGAATTTGGAACTCTGTGGGTCACGATTTTATTTGGTTGACTGCCTTTTTTCGTTATGTCATTATGCGTATATTCCGACTCAAGCATAAATAAAGATCTCAGGTGAAGTTAACTACGGATAAGTACAGAGTTATGTTGCTTGGTTGCTGCCGTCTGTTGGGTTGAAACTCACTTCTTGCTGTCCTTTAATGGAGCAAGTGTGTTCTTGAAAATTTGCATTTGTAGTGGAAAAGGTGGATTCGTATTAAAATATTTCCGATTCAGGAAGCGTCAAACAGAGATTCGCCACCTGCATCCATTACTGGCCATTTAAAGATGCAGATGCTCTTGCTGGGTTTGGTCCAAACTGGTAATTACTCTTACTTGGGTTTTTTTATATTAATTAGTCAATTTATCTCACTTCTCTCCCAGAAATAAATAACTTCCCTACATTGTTCTTAGGTTTTGTTTAATTGGTTACAGTATGACATTAAAGCAAAAATAATACAAGTGTTTTCTCTTTGTTTTTGTTAATTTGTACCAGAGTGTTGTTCATTGCCAGCTCCTCTCCTGCGTGGCCGGCCTAAAGCAGACACTGTTTTAATTAAAACTGGGAGCAGGTTTTCTCCCGAACCTTTAGTTGTAAGAGTACCAAGCACAGACAGGAGTCCTTGTTAACATCCAACAAGAAGTATAGAATCTTCATAAATATCTCTGTAGACCTTGGGAAATATACTATCTCTTCACTTCTGGGAGAAATAATCCTAACTCTCTTCTAGACTTCCGACCACCAAACATCGTTTCAACCTTCAGTCAGTTTTTTATTATATTTAAATACTGTTTTCAATGAGCAGCTTGATAAAGCTCCTGAAAAGCGAAACGTTGTCACAATAAAATGTCACATTAGTTGCACTTGTGTCCTTTTACCTAACATATTATCGGTAATTCTATTAAAATCAATACATGAAAGGTGTTGTAAGATTCCTGGCCGCTTTGTTTGTATGATTTACAACGTGGTTCTTCGTGGTCAGTGTGGAGTCAAATTTCACCCCTGGAACCAACACACTCCCATCTCATTCTCTCTCTCTCTCTCTCTCTCTCTCTCTCTCTCTCTCTCTCTCTCTTACACTCTTTCTGCTCAAACATGCACCTGCTAGATATCACTCACCGGGCAATATAGGTACTGCAAGTCACACTTAAAGCCATGAGACTGAAAGCTGCCAATGTCTGGGAAGATGGTTCCGTCTCTCCTGTGAATAATAAACATGTTTATCCTCAATATCTGTAACACAGTGAATATACTTTATCGCGATCCTCAGTCCTATTAATTTCTCAGTTCATTAAATATATATAAAAACTTTTAACTACACAGTGTCAAGCACTGTGACGTGTGATCCATATTATTAGTAGTACTTTTGTGCCTCACAGTAACCCTTCCAGGACTTACACAGAATCCATAGTAACCCCTCCAGTGACCTATGGTGCATCCTCAGTCACTTCTACAGTGACCTATGGTGCATCCTCAGTCATTTCTACAGTGACCTATGGTGCATCCTCAGTCACCTCTACAGCGACGTATGGTGCATCCTCAGTCACTTCTACAGTGACCTATGGTGCATCCTCAGTCACTTCTACAGTGACCTATGGTGCATCCTCAGTCACTTCTACAGTGACCTATGGTGCATCCTCAGTCCACCTCTACAGCGACGTATGGTGCATCCTCATCACTTCTACAGCGACGTATGGTGCATCCTCAGTCACCTCTACAGCGACGTATGGTGCATCCTCAGTCACCTCTACAGCGATGTATGGTGCATCCTCAGTCACTTCTACAGTGAACTATGGTGCATCCTACATCCTACATCTACAGCGGCGTATGGTGCATTCTCACTCTACAGTGACCTATGGTGAATCCCCAATAACTCTATAGTCACCTATGGTGCATCCTCAGCCACGTCTACAGTGACCTATGGCGCATTCTCACTCTACAGTGACCTATGGTGCATCCTCAGTCACTCTACAGTGATCTGTGGTGCATCCTCAGTCACTCTACTGTGACCTATCGTGCATGCCAGTCACCTCTACAATGAGCTATAGTGCATCCAGTCACGTCTACAGTGACTTATGGAGCATCCTTTCACGTCTACAGTGACCTAAGGCGCATCCTGTCACGTCTACAGTGACCTATGGTGCATTAATAGTTACTCCAACAGTTACAGTCAGATTGTGAACCACCACAGACTGTGGTCTACCAAAGACTGTCACCCACTCAACTATCACTAAGCACTGTAACCCACAGCAGACAATGATCAACGTCACAGTTTGAACCACCACAGACAGTAATCCGCTAAAGAGTGTGATCCACCATAAACCCTAGTTCACTACTCTCTGTAACCCACCAAAGTTTTGTGATACACTTCTCAATGTGACTCACTACAGACTATGATTTACCACAGACTGTGATCCACCACAGACTGTGGCCTGCCACAGGCTATAATCCATTGTACACTGTGACCTACAACAAACTGACCTATCTTGTACAATGACCCACTACACACTGATCGACCAGAGACTAATTCACTATACATTACGACCTATCACTGGCACACCACTACAGACTATGATGCACCACAGACTGGGATTCACTATACACTGTGACTCGCTACACACTGTGTCCCATCACAGACTGACCCACCACAGATTGTAACCCACTGCATATTGACCCATCACAGACTGTGACGTACTACATACTGTGGCCCACCATTCAGTGACCAACCACAGACTGTGACCCACTACACACTGATTCATCAAAGACTGTGACCCACCAAATACTGTGATTCACCACAGCTTGTGACCTACACACTGTGACCCAACAGAGATTGTTATCCAATATCCTCTGTGACTCACCACAGACTGTTTAACTACACACTGCGACCTACCAGTTTGTAACCCACCACACACTGTCACCCACCACATACTGTGACCCTCCATATACTGTGACCTACCACATACTGTGACCCACTACAGTGGCCCCACTGCAAACTGTAATAACACAGAAACTTACGTGATGGTAAAGCTTCAGATAGTAGTTTGCATGTCATGCTGTCTCAATGTCTCTGGGATAGTGATTACAAGCCATGTAGCATTCATGGCAGCGCACCTGAACCACAGAATGTATGACACGTGTTAGAATGTTTGACAGGTGTGTGAATGTGTGATGAGTGTTTGATAGATATGGAAATGTATGACAGGTGTATGACAGTTGTGTGAAAGTATTAGTATGTGTGGTAGTTGTATGAGTATGGCGAGTGTATGGGAAGTCTGAGAATGAATTATAAGTGTATAGCAACTATGAGACTATGTGACGAGTACTTGACAGGCGTAAGAATGTATGACGAATTTATGACAGGTGTGAAAATGTATGAAGAGTGTGTGACGACTGTGAGAATGTATGAAGAATGTACGATAGGTGTGAGAATGCATGATAGATGTGAGAATGTATGATAGGTGTGAGAATGTATGATAAGTGATTGTGAGAATGTATGAAGATGTAAATTATGAAAGGGTTAGAAAGGAGATGTATAAAGAATGTATGATAGGTGTGAGAATGCATGAAGAGTGTGTAAAAGTATTTATCCCCGTAATTTCATAATGCCTGTCTGGGGCTGTTTCACTTACACATCAACAGAGGGCCTGCACAGGTGTCAGCCGACACCAAGAGTGTTCACGCAGAGAAAAAAAACTCACGACAGCTACTCTGAAGGCAACATCTCCCATGAAATTTAATGCTTGGTTCAGTATACTAGCTGTCTGCTTGAGAGAACCTTGCCAATGAACTTCATTCTAGTCTACAAGGGTTATGTTATTTAGCAATACTCCTACACTCCCGCTGCCTCTACAATGACCCCACAAGTTGGTCACAACGTCCGTCTCAGCAGATTTTTCCAGTAATGCCAGGCTAGTGTGAGTGAGCTTTTTCCAAGTTGTACGTGTGCATCGCCGTTATCAGCCTAGCTACGGCATTCAAAGAAATTTACATATGTCCCAGCACATTTCTACATGACAGAGGGTCTTCCTGTCCATGTTCTGAAAATTGAACGTAATCGTCACGATGCAGAAACAATGTTTCTCTGCGGGTTTTGGTACAACCCAACAGATTTCAAGACCCCAGCTAGCCAGTGGCTGTCGCCCAAGCTAGTCACCAGCTGCCGCAGAAGCCAGCGGGACGCTAGCGAATTCTCCAACCAATGATTTCTCTTATAATACTATTGTAAGCAACATTAGTTGATTCAAACCCTACTTTGAGATGTCAGCACTTTCAACATTGCTACATTTGTGCACATTTTCTACACCAACAGTTAAGTAAAACAATAATTTTGTTTAGCATTTCCTAGAGTTCTTGTGACAATATTTTATTTGCTCTAGTGCCTGATACAGTATGTTTGGTGTGAGTCATCTTACCAGTGTACCAGTCAGCCTGAAGGCTCGTGTACAGTTTCACTCCACAATCTACGTTGTAAATTTGCAATGTAGCTACAATGTAGCTACAATGTAGCTACAATGTAGCTACAATGCATTTGCACCAGTGATTCATTCGCTGTTTACCAGTAATTTCTACACTGTTCTTCTAGTTAATTAAGCTTACTAATTTTATTCAGTAATTTTCATTGTACATACATATATACATATAATTCTCTTGCGATAAAAATCATTGCAGTGTTTGTGCATTTCTTAAAATCTTTTTGCTGTGCTAATTATTACTTGTCTACCATTACTGTATGTTAATTACAAACTGTTCACAGTATCTTTTTATTATATTTGTCGTTATTCCTTTCCGTGAAGCTTCCTTGCTCTGTGTCGTAAAGTGTCAATTTTGCTACAACGAATACAGTTAACAATTTGTCCATAAGACATTTAATTTCTCCAGTTATACTTGTTTCCAGTTACTCTACAGTATCAGCACTCCTTGTTATTTCTTCCGTTTTTAACTGTGTACAGCATTTTGTTGACCTTTCACCTGTGTTCTTGAGTGCAACACCAGTCACAGTATTAGTAATTTACTGTATGTTTGCATAAATTTGTTTGCATTTCTGTGCCATTGTGTATTATTATATATATTTTTTGCATGTTTACGGTTCTTTGATAAATTGCTTGGATTAAATTTTGTGTACAATAATCTTTTATATTTTGTGTGTCCAGTCACTCATTACATTTGCTTATTATATAACATTTAATTTTATTTGACTATCTTGTGTTCACTCGACCTTTTGCAAGCAAAGAATTTTTTGCATTTCTTTTTACAACTACTGCACATGCAACCTTTAGCTGTGTGCCCAGTGAGCCTGCAATATATTTCATTATATTTGTCATTATTTCCCATTTGTTTGCATTATACACTTTATTTTGTTTAATCAATTAACTTTCAATCCTTTTTTAAATGAAACAATTTTGCATTGCTACCAGTAGTAGCGCTGTTGCAGATTATCTCTTGTAATTACCTGCATTCAGTTGTTGAATATTCTGGTGTGCATCCATTTGCATATGCATGTTTTACTGTTCATTTCCAAAGTGTAAGATTTACTCATATTTTCTGTGTTTTTAAGATTGCCATAGCGTACCAGCTATTTACTATTTACAATCGTACCGCGCATGTTCTCACTCACTCTTCCACAACTCATATCAGTGACACTGGTCTGTAATTTAATGTTGTGTGTCTGTCTCCTTTCTTAGAAATTGGAGTTAAATTTGCTATCTTCCTCACCTCAGGTAGTCGCCCTGTTTCGTTAGATGTGTTGAATATTGTTGTTAGTGGCATACACAGTGCCTCTTCTCCCTCCCTCAGGACCCATAGAGAGATACCAGCTTTGAGGTATCTAGTTCACTCAGCAGCCTCTTCACCTCCTCGATTGTGTGTATTGTGTCTAGCACTTGCTAGTGTACATCACCATTTTGCCAAAGTGAGTTCTGTCTCCACTGAAAATATTTCTTTAAATCTCATGTTGAGCTCTTCACATACTTCTCGGTCGTTTCCTGTCAACTTTCATTCTTCAATTCTTAGCCTGATTACCTGTTAATTGACTGTTGTTTTCCTCCTGATGTGGCTGTACAACAGCTTTGAGTCTGACTTGGCTTACAATGCTGTGTCATTTACGTATTGCCGCTGGGCCTCTCTTCTTGTCTGTGCATATTCGTTTCTGGTTTGTCGACTAATCTCTTATTTTCCTGGGTCCTTTGTCTTCTATTCTTTTTCCATTCTCTAGCACACTTAGTTTTGGCGTCTCTGCACCTTTGGGTGAACTAACGGCTCGTTCTGGTCTTCCAATTATTTCTGTTGCCCTTGGGAACGAACCTCTCCTATGCCTCCTCGCGTTTTGTAGTCACGTATTCCATCGTTTCATTTACTGAAACTCATGTAGGAAATTCATCGTGCCTGTGTAGTCCCCTCTTTTGTAGTTTGATTTCTCCCGTCCTACTCTTTCAGCTTCTTTCTCCACTTGTTACTCTACTATGTATTCAAAGCTCAGGACCATGTGATCACTAGCTCAACTGGGGCTTTCATATGTGATGTCCTCAGTGTCTGAGTTACTGAAGGTGAAAATGAGGTCCAGTCTTACTGGTTCGTCCTCTCCTCTCTCTCTGGTAGTGTCACTAACATGTTGATGTATGAGGCATTCTAGTACCACCTTCATTACCTTACCCTTCCACGTTTATGGTCCCCCATGTGGTTCTAGGTTTTCCAAGTCAATTTTTTTGTGAATGAAGTCACCCACAACTAGTAACTTTGCCCTGCCCAAGTGGGGCCTTTTTACTACCTCAGCTAGTATATCAACCATTACTCTGTTGCTCTAATCATATTCTTATGTTGGCCTCCTGCTATTCTGTGGTAGGTTATGCATCACTGCAATCACCACTTTGGGACTCCCAGTCCGAAGTGTTACTACTGTGTAGCCCCTTCCTTCCTCTCTGTGCCCTCTTTCCAGCTCCTCAAAATCTCCACTGGGTTTTGATGAGCATTGCAACTCCTCCACCCCCTCTATTCCCTCTATCATTCCTCAGGATCTGATATCCAGTTGAAAAGATAGCATCTGTTATCATTAATGTGAGCTTGGTTTCCGTGAGTGCTTTGATGTCTGGTGATGCCTCTGGGATTCTTTCATGCCACTCCTTACACTTATTCGTTTTTCAATCTTTGTTGGTGTACCATATCTTCAGGGGTTTGCGGGGGCTGGGGGAATGGGAGACCTGACAGGGTGTTATGGGAATCTACTGTGTAAGATGGGGTGGGGTCTGTGAGTGTGGAATGGGGTTTGTTTTGGGATAGTATGTTTCGTTGCTGGGTTCAATGAGTGGTTCTGTGGGAGGATGCATGTGCTGCTCCTCCCGACTCTGGTTGTCCCCTCCTGACTCTAGCCTTGTCTCTCTTGGCCCTTCCATCTTTGTATCCTTTCTCTCACTTTCTGTCATTCTGTTCTCGTTCTGTTATGATTTAGGTACACCCTCTGGTATTTTGCTGCTTTCTTCAGCTGTGATTTCTGCTGCAGGATCCTGTTCCACACCGTTTCTGTCTTGAAAATCAGTTTGACTGGCTGATTTCTTTTCTTCGAATATTTCCTTATTCCTTGAAAATTTCTCAGTTCAGTCATGTCCTCCTTTCCTGTTTGTTTGATAATATTTTCAAACTCTTTTTTTCTCTTCTAGTCGTCTTTGTTTGCATGTCCTTCCTTCTACTTCCCGAAGCTCATGAATAAAAACTGACCTCTCCCTCTCCTTCCATTGCTTTTTCCTCTGCATCTCTGGGTCCAATTTTAACATAGCCATTGCTTCTTCCCTTTTCATTTCCTGGATCTCCTGGTGACCTGGTCGTGCTTCTACAGAGGGCCTATCACCTTCTTTGCCTACCCCCTACTTACTGTTGTCCCTGTACCCAGCAGCATGCCACTGTCGTTCCTCGACATTTCCTGGTGGCCTGATAAGGTGTGTGTGTGTGTGTGTATTTATCCAATTGTGCTTGCAGGGCTCGAGTCACAGCCCCTTGGTGTGACTTGTTCTGTTCTTGTTTTGTCGCGATCTAAGTACACTCTCTGGTATTTTGCTGTTTTTCTTTAGCTGTGGTTTCTGCTGCAGGATCTTGTTCCACACCGTTTCTGTCTTGAAAATAAATTTGACCGGCCGATTTCTTCCCCTCGAGTATTTCCCTATTCTCTGAGAATTTATCAACTCAGTCATGTCCTTCTCTCCTGTTTGTTTGATGATATTTTCAGTCTCCTTTTTTCTCTTCCAATCATCTTTCTTCATATGTCCTCCCGTCGATCTCCTGAAGCCCATGAATAAAAACTGACCTCTCTCCTGTCCTCCTCCCATTGCTTTTCCCTCTGTATCTCTGAGTCCCAGTTAAGCGTAGACATTGCTGCTTCCCTTATCATTTCCTGGATCTCCCCGTGGCCTGGTTGCGCCTCTACAAGGGGCCTATCACCTTCTTTACCTCCCCCCCCCCAGTCACTTACTGCTGTCCCTGTGCCCAGCAGCATACCACTATCGTTCCATGACATATCCTCGTGGCCTGATAGCGTGTGTGTGTACTCACCCAACTATGGTTGCAGGGCTCGAGTCACAGCTCCTTGCCCCAGTGTGTGTGTACTCACCTATTTGTACTCACCTATTTGTGGTTGCAGGGGTCGATTCACAGCTCCTGGCCCCGCCTCTTCGCTGATTGCTACTAGGTCCTCTCTCTCCCTGCCCCATGAGCTCTATCATACCTCGCCTTAAAACTATGTATGGTTCCTGCCTCCACTACATCCCTTTCTAGGCTATTCCATGGCCTGTGTGTGGCATGTGTGTGTGTGTGTGTGTGTGTGTGTGTGTGTATGTGTGTGTGTGTGTGTGTGTGTGTGTGTGTGTGTGTGTGTGTGTGTGTGTGTGTGCGTTTGTGGGAGTCAACACTCACCTTGTTAAAGCATCGGTATGACCCATACTTGCTCTAGTTGTGGAGAAGTAGTAGCAACTCTTGCGGTTCTTGGACATAATAAAATCACTCGGACACACCACTGTTGGGTCACAACGGATAAAATTCATTAATCACAGTACAACTGAACAGCAACATCCCTCCATCCTTCAGAGTCCAACCTATATTTATATGTGCTGGTAAACCTGTTCTGATATATTCTCTTTATAAAATAACATCATCTCTTTGACCCCCCTCTTTATTTTCTGATGAACATTGTTCTTGACCATAGGCCGTCTCCTAATTCTATTGTTTCTGGTTCACTGACATCTACACGACCACTAGCATTCTCCCGACCTTATTTTAAGACCATGTCTAATATCCTCGAGATGCATGTATTGTCACCACTCTGTCTTGGAATCTTTTCTTTTTGACCTTTTTTGAAAAACTTCGCACATTTTTTTTCTCATCTATTTAACGTTGCATCGCATCTTTCGCAGACCCACTTGTTTATGTGTCCATCCTCAGATATCTAAATACACTTACTTCCTTCTTCCGTTCTCTTTCCCTCAGCTTCTATCCAATCTTTAATGATCTAGTTTTGTGATTTTTCTCACTATGCTTCTTTAACTACTTATTTTTAATTTTCTTTTTCAACAGGCCTTCTTAAACTCCTCAATCAACTCTAACAATTTTTCAACAGAAACTTTAAAAAATGCTGTTTCATCAGGAAAAAAACAACTGTGACAACTCCCACTTCATATCAGGCTCACAGTCCTTCAAGCTCAAGCCTTCTTCCAACACTTCAGCACTTCCTTCCTCTACCCGTCAATAAATATGTTAAATATTACACATCCCTGTCTAAGATCTACTTTAAATGGATAATAATTTTTTCAGACAGTATCCCGTAGTGAGTGTAGTCGTCAGTATATATATATATACATATATATATATATATATAAATATATATATATATAATATATATATATATATATATATATATATATATTATATATATATATATATATATATATATAACAAATAACCCGCACATAAAAGAGAGAAGCTTACGACGACGTTTCGGTAAGACTTGGACCATTTACAAAGTCACAATAACCAGAATTGGAGCAGGACGGGTATATATAGGCAGGAAAAGGTGGTGGTGGTAGTAGCAGTAGTAGTAGTAGAGGTAGTAGTAGTGGTAGTGGTAGTATTGGGGAATAAGGAGGAGTAGCCAGTCAAACACAAAGAAAGGGGAGCACTGCAAGGGAGCTAGGTGCCCACAGAGGGAGAGCAAGTGCACAGAGGTGAGTGAAAGGGGAAGTGGTGAAATAAATAAAGAAGGAACAGAAACACGAGACAGAATGAAGAAAGACAACCCAAAAGAGAAAAAGGAAAGAGGAAAGGGGAAGAGGGAGAAGAAGAAAAATAAAAATAAAAAATGAGGAGTCAGGTTAAGTCACGGGTGTTCTGAAGTTTGGAGCATTTTACAATGTAGTGGGAGAGGAAGGCATCTACAGAGACGAAGCCAGGACTAAGATTCATACAAGGAAAGTTGTGTATTAGAGAGGATTCAACTAGACGGCGACTGTTCGAGTTGGAAGTAGGGAAGACAGTTTTAGCAGAAGACCAGTCAATAGGATGGCTATGATCTCTGACGTGACAGAAAAGAGCATTCCATACCCCCGGCCGGGATTGAACCCGCGGTCATAGAGTCTCAAAACTCCAGCCCGTCGCGTTAGCCACTAGACCAGCTAGCCACAATAAGATTCATCCAACTAGGTATATTTCTACACCATGTTGATGGCAGTGAAGGGACTTGAGCTAGAGTTCGTCACGGCCATGCTAGCTGGAGATTCGTCTGTAAAAACTTGCATTTGTGGTCACAGTGGTGCCTGTGCTAACCTTCCTATGGTGTAGAAATATACCTAGTTGGATGAATCTTATTGTGGCTAGCTGGTCTAGTGGCTAACGCGACGGGCTGGAGTTTTGAGACTCTATGACCGCGGGTTCAATCCCGGCCGGGGTATGGTTTGTTTGCAATCGTGTCATTACGATTTCTTGAGTCAAAAGAGCATTGTTAGTGTCGGCAAGCCTAACACAATTTTTGTGCTCCCTAAGTCAGTCAGAAAGAGATCGACCAGTTTCTCCGAAGTATTGAAGAGGACAGGAGGAGCAAGAAATAGAGTAGGCACCAGGAACATCTCTAGAGGGAGGAGAGGTATTAACGAGATTAGTGCGAAGAGTGTTAGTCTGGCGGAAGGTAAGCTTGATGTCTAAGGGACGGAGAGAATTGTTGAAATTAGAAAGACCGGAAATGTAGGGAAGGCAGAGGACAGAAGAGTTCCCAGGAGTAGAGAGTTTGGGAGAGAAGAAATTACGTTTAGCACGTGAGAGGGCAGAGTCTATGAAATGGGAAGGGTAGCCAAGACGGGAAAACGAATTATGAAGAGTGGAAATTTCTGCTGGAAGGAACTGAGGATCACAGATGCGGAGGGCACGGAGAAAGAGGGAGATAAGAACATTTTTCTTGACAGGGGAAGCATGATAGGAAAAGTAGTGAATGTACATGCCACTGTGCATAGGTTTTCGGTAAACGGAAAAGGAAAAACCTGTATCTGAGCGGTGAACATGGACATCAAGGAAAGGAAGGAAGGAATTAGATTCCCATTCAGCTTTAAACTTAATGGAAAGGGCAAGATTTGTGTATCGTTCCAGTCACGGTATTGTGCCTTTTTTTGTTACATATATATATATATATATATATATATATATATATATATATATATATATATATATATATATATATAATATATATATATATATATCAAGATATATATCAAGAGGAGCCTCACAACAGCTGGGTGCCCAGCAGTAAGGGAGCCACCCCAACTATGCAGATTTGATGGCAGCCAGAAGCGTCCAGATGGTATCACCCTTCAAGCCTGGACAGATGGGAAGCAGGTGGTGTGGGACTATACATGTGCATCTACCTTGGCTGATACCTATCTCCAATACACCAGGGAGGAAGGAGGGGCAGCTGCCAGCTTCAGGGAGTCCCAAAAGTCTAGAAAATATGGAGAACTTGCCCATCATTATATGTTTGTTCCCATAGGCTCAGAGACCCTTGGCTCATGGGGAAAGAGTGCATCTAAATTCCTTAAGGAGCTGGGAAAAAGACTCATCAGGGTAACTAGGGATCCCAGGGCAGCTAGTTTTCTGTTCCAGCGGCTCAGTGCGGCTGTTCAAAGGGGTAATGCCTGCTGTATTTTGGGCACACGCCCCAGCTCTGAGGAGCTGGATGAGATTTTCGCCTTATAATCGGTGATACACACGTAACAACATGTACCTTATATGCCACCTTTATATCAACAATGTATCTCTTAAATCTTCTGTACCGTATTATGTAATAAAATATTCCTATTAGTAAAAAAAAATATATATCAAAAGATGGGGTGGTAGGGGAAGTGGAATATTCAAACGGCTTCAGGAAGAAATCCAAATATTTTTCCTTGAAGCCTTTTTATCCACTTCTTCGAGGCTATGGGTCCCACAATTTGCACCAGAGGTGGACCCCATCCTATATATATATATATGCAAAACAACCACTCTGAAAGAATAGAGAAATTCCAAGCGCTTTCGTGACTACTCGCATTATCACATTAGTTCCTTGATAATGTGAGTAGTCACGAAAGCGCTTGGAATTTCTCTATTCTTTCAGAGTGGTTGTTTTGCATATTTTGAAATCACCTGTTTACTGTGATCTTATTGCATATATATATATATATATATATATATATATAATATATATATATATATATATATATATATATATATATATATATATATATATATGTATATATATATACAGTATATATATATATATATATATATAATATATATATATATATATATATATATATATATATATATATATATATAATGTATATAAACAATGAAATCACGAAACATGTGATTTTTAAATCATTTACCAAATTGCGGCAGGGCTGGACTCGACCCTACGAACCTTGTAGCGCCTCCACATACAGCACAATGTACGCATCGCCTTACCACTTACGCCACTGATCTTACCATTGGCGTAAGTGGTAAGGCGATGCATGCATTGTGCTGTCTCTGGAGGCGGTACAAGGTTCGTAATGTCGAGTCCTGCCCTCCCGCAGTTTGGTAAATGATATATATAATAAATTTAGTATGAAAGAATAATACATCTTAGGGACAATGGGGTTGAGCCCGTGGTCACATTTGGTAAAAAACACGAGGGCGTTCATGCAAGTGTGAGGAAATCGCAACCATATGTCATTTGTCGACTACGAAATATATACCAAGCAAATAAGTTGACATCTTGATCTCATGGAAACAGATTCAAGTTTAATTAAATTTCTGTGCGCAGCTAGGGAGTATAATTTCTAAATAGAACACGACATGAATTTCATTCTATCGAAATATGGATTGTAGTTTAAGTCTTGAAAAAACATTTTTATCGAAGATCAACCAATTACAGTAATAGATTTTAGGACATCTGATCAAGCAGAAATTGGACCCGATCATAGTTGAAAAAAATGTCCACCACAATAATGTTAAGGATATATGCAAATTTAATAACCTAAGTGTACTGAAAAGACATGTTTTTACTCGGCAGCCATGAATGAGATGCTGATATAAAAATGGCGATATAAAACTTACACACCACACACACACACAGCATAACACATAACAAGGCTAGATGGGTTAATCGACATGTGCCTATGACAAAATGGTAAACTAACACCACACACGACAACACACAAAAAAGTCAACAACAGCATACATATGAGGATAAACCAGAGAGAGAGATGAGAGAGAGTAGAGAGAGAGCAGACGACAAGAGGAGAGAGAAGAGGAGAGATGGAGAGAGAGAGAGAGAGAGAGAGAGAGAATAACAGCAGGTATGGATGACTCTGGTAGCAGAGTATAATTTTAGTACAATGTTTGGTCCAAGGTTGGGCTTAACCAAGTATTTAAGAATTAGTGAATTCACCATCTTGTAAGGCAAATAAGCACCATGAGGTCATGCTGGAAGAAAGACAAGTGACACATAAGGGC